GGCTCGGAGGCTCCGCCTGGTCGGGAGCGTTACCTGTGGGAAGAGCAACTTCCCCGGGGCGCTTTGGTGTGATTGCGTGGAGCCCTGGGGCTCCTTTGTGGCTGCCTTTTATTTTATTTCTTTATTTTTTCCCCCCTTCACAGAAGGAGAAGAAAAACAAGAAAAACAAAAGAAGGGTCCTATGCTAGAGTGAGCTCACTTGGCAGCAGATTCGGATGTGTAGCATTTGTAGGTGAATCTCAAAACCCACTGCCTGAGAAATCAGGTTTATCTATTATACCGTGTTTGAGGAATCCCCAACTATTTGTTTTTTCTTATGTTTGGCTTTTCATGCTATCTGCTATACTCTTAAAGTGAGCCAAAATAGCTCATTTTTAGGCTAGGAATAGGAATAGCAGGGATGCAAAGTGCTTTCTCTAGTAGAAACCTGGTATTTGGACCTGCTGCCTGTTCTGCATGAGCCGTTTGTGAGCAAACACTGAGGGGTTGCTTTTTTTTGCTTAGTTTTCCTCTTTCAGGAGGGTTTCCATCTATTTCCCCCTCCCTCCTCGCTCCTGCTTGTGTTCACGCTGCTTTCGTAGTTTACTTTGGCTATGGGCTCGCAGCAGGGGAGACCTCAAGAGCCTGGGTGCGCTCTGTGGCCGGGACACCCAATCTGCAGCCTGATTTCAGCCCTGCCAGGTCCTGTAGCATGCAGGCAGGTGGTGCTTCTTTTTACATATTTTGCCTTTTGGTAAAGACGCTTTGAAATCTTCCCTAACTTCACTATGGAGCTCCTCAAGGCTGCAGCTGGAGGACTGATTTGCTACTCTGAGCCCTGTATCCTCAGCGTGTGCGTGTGTTTTTCCTAGTTGAAATGAAACAGATATTAAATAATAAACAGATCTCAAACTCATTGTAACTTAAAAAAACCCCTCCTTTTTAAAACAGAGAGCCTCCCACTTCTTGCCATCATTATTTTTAACAGCTGTCCCAGAACAGACCGCTTGGTTTGTACAGGGGTCTGCTGGGTGGTTTTACGAGGCTGTTTAAGCCGGGAGCAACTGTGCTGGCTCCAGCTCCCCTGGGCCACTCAGACATGACAGAACTGCTTTGCCAGCTGGTTACCAGAGTGTTCTGCCTCCCTCGGAGACATGGAGCAAGGTAAGGATATGCAGGAGTGTGCGTCTGAGAAATGTGCCATGCAGGTTCCTGTCACCCTGGAGACTGAGGCCCCTCCGTCAGCGTTTCTCAGAGCAGGCAAAACGGGGGCTTGGGGTTGTCTAAGTGAGCAAACCCACTTATAAAAGAGGGGAAAGAACAGCGGGGTAAAATCGTGGCAGAAAGTGAACTGGCAAATGAGGTGGCCCTCTGCACCTTTCTGCATCTCCTTTCTGGTTCAGATCAGCCCTAAGGACATCCTTCGTGGGGGTCAGGGCTGTGAGCAGAGGTAGGCTGTGCTGCACGAGGACGCAGTGCTGGGTGACACGGAGATATGTGTACCTGACATGCCAGTTAAAGCTGCAGCTCTTGTTGCGTCCCTGCTGGCTTCTCCTCCTTCCCAAGTCTGCCTTGGTCTTGGGAAGCTTCCCAGCGATCTTATGCAAGTCACTGAGTCGCTTGGTCCCTCTTTGCCCCCGGTAAGCTGCCAGAATGGGTGTGCAGACGGTGCCAGCACCAGCATCAGGTGTAACCTCCGGGTGTTTGGCAGGAAGGCTCCGCTTGCTGGCATCCTCCTCTCTCCTCTGCTGAGACATCCACTCCTAGGTGGGCTCATGGCTTGGACAGGGG